TCCGTTCTCTTAAGACCTTTAATTGATTGTCTAAGTCTTTCTTTTCTTACAGACCAGCAACAGTAAACTCCAGTTTCACAATATAGTTTCAGAGTGAAATACGTACTCTGAATAAATATAAAGAGATTAAGTAAAAATCTAGTCAACATAAAGCACCTCTCTTCAAACTCACTTCTACAGCCCACTCTATACACACATAATCATGGATTTGCATATTATCCAGTTTGTGAGTTGTCACCATGTGCTGTGTGAAAAGCCAACACAAAAGGGAAAAATGAACAAAGCGCTGTCAAAGCGTAGAGGCTACACTTCCAAAATAAAATAAAAAGTTCACATTTTCCATCGGAGTCATCTCAGATGCCATCCAACAGTAACAAGATTTCTAAAACTCTTAGACAAAAAAACAAACAAAAAAATGGCAATAACCTTTCAGAAAGGCAAATTAGTTTGATATTACCTACTTTATCGGAAGATCTCTCAAAAATTTTAAGTAGTTGGATAGTTTTAGTCTTCTAAATAATTAAAGCAGAGGTGTAAGTGGGACAAAAATGCCAGAATGAAGAATTTAACATTCAGTACTAGAAATATGATCTATGAACAACCCTTAATGCATTAGCATACACATTATATTACACATACACAGATTTATATTTTCTCAGATCTGCTACAGGTAACACCTTCCTAATGCCTCTTTGCCTGTGCCAGTGCTAAATTTAAGTTTAGGGCTTTTTTTGCTCTTTGTACTTACATCTGTGACAGTTACACGCATCAAAAAAAAAGTTAAATATATGTAAGTGGACAAAATAGAACAGTGAATATTTTCTTAATGACATATATTTATGTTTCTTCTTGTGGTTATCACAATACAATTGATACATATTATTTCATTCCTATAGACACAAATCAGCTAACACAAGTGAAACAAAAAGTAAAACACCGCAATCTTTGCAGGATGGAGTTTATTTAATTTAGGCAGCTTTAGATGGGGGATATTAAGAAAACCACACATTCTAAAAAGCAAACAAGTAGAATAAATTTTTGTTTGTTTTCTAAAACAACTCCTCTATTAAGTAAAGACTGATGACAACTTTCTCAGCTGGCTGAAAATAAATTTAAATAAATTCATAGCCAATGAAAAGAGACAAGCTAAGAGTAAGCGAAAACGATTTTCAATTTTATTTCTTAACTGTCTCAAGTTCACATTTGTGACAAATTTCTAAGGCTGTTGTTTCTCTGCCATAAACAAAGAAAAAAGAAACTACACTGAGAACTAAACATACCTTTTCATGAAACGCTGTAATTAACCAGAGATCGACATCAATGCTAGTGCCTCGTTTCTCTGCACCAATGAACTGCAAAATATTGTCATGCTTCATTCCAGGTAAACTGTAAATTTCGTATTCGTTCTGCCACGACTGTTTGTCCTTTAAACCAAAGAATATATCAAACCAAGTTAATACCGTAATAATAAGAGGTACTTTCCCTGATAAAAGTTTCCTCCTACAATTTACTGTGCATTTGTAAGTGTTCTGTCAAAATGACTAAAACCTTTTTTTTTTGGGGGTTTTTTTTTTGGGGGGGGGGAGAGGGGGGCAAGACAAGATTTACTACCTAAAGGAAAGAAAGCATAGTGCATGCTAGTGATGTTATGAGGCTGATTATTTAAAAATTAGAAGTGTTTAGACTAATAACAATACTTGTGCTACAAACTACTGACCTAACATATACAAAAATATGACAACCCGTCTTCACATATAGTGGAAAATTGTTAGAAAAAACTTGAATTTGTTGTAAACAAACATCAATTGCTGAAAACAACCTCAACTATCACAGATATGAACCATGGAAACACAGAAAGCTGTAGATTAGGATTGGAGTCTACATGACACAAATCATTACAGTTGCTTCCATCTTAAGAGCATGGTTCAATTTTTATATTTTATTAATCTACAAGGACCCCATAAAGAATTAGAAATAGGTTTTCCTTAATTAAAAATAATGAACAAAGTCTCAGATTTAGTTTATGTTGTGCTGATGGCTGAAACCAGCATAAATACATGCCATTTCTCCTCGAATAATAAGAACCTGCAGATGTGTTTATTCAGCAAGTCAACACTCGGCTAATCATCAGAAAACACAAGCACATTTCTACACCTCAAGTAGCAGTGGGTGTTTTTAATTAATGTAAAATCTATCCTTCATATCATTGTGTATGATCACTGTGTTCTTTAACTAGACCGGACCTTAAAGTTATGAGCACAATCTATTCTAAAACATGGCTTTCAGAGGGTACTTGCTGGGAAGTAAATATTATTTCACTTAATTGAGGCATATTTAATTGGAAAAATCACCTTATAGGTTTGCATTTCAGGACATTCCTTCCAAGTACAATTTAATTCGAAAAATATTAACAAATTCTTCTCAACTGATCAAGAGATGTGTGAGAGCTGCTTAAAACTGTTCATGCCAAATACGTATTTTTATGACTAGAAACATAATTTCACAGTTTGTTTCAATGTTTGCTACATTAAATTACTTATTTTAATTCACTAAAACTCTACGTGCACATTTTTCAGCTCAAGACATTTCTATCTAGGTTTACAGTATCTATTGAAAATTCTCTAAAATAAAAGCTTCTTATTGTGACTAGAAAAACTGGTTTAACATTACGATATTACAAGCAACACAGGACACTAAGAACTTCTGCTTACCTGAATAGGGAATATTTTGACTGCAACATACTCATTTAGTAGTTGAGCTTTCCATACACAACCAAATCTTCCCCTAGCTTTGATCTCTAGTAACTGCAATGGCTTCAAACCCATCAATGGTGAAGGTGGTGGAGGTCCAGGATCCTGAAATCAGGTTAAAACCATTAATTTTGCTATTGTATGTGCTATCTATGATGACAGCACTAGAAATACAAGCTTGTAAACGGAAAGAGGCTTGGTGTCATATACCCAACCCCCTTGCAACAAATTCCCCCAAACAAACCAGAAACAAAACAGCAGCCCTTCTCCGCAGGAAAGAAAAATGAGATTGTAAAACATGCTCGCATCAAATGTGCAAGCGACAGCATAACAACAGTTACAGTATAAATCTGTCTAACCAGGTGTAAAAGCACAGCAGAAATTAAGGAATAAAGATAATCAAGCTTTACTTGTTACTTTTTTTAAGAGACAATTACAATGAGCACCTTTGATATATTTAGGGGTTTGGTTTTTTTTTTGTTCGTTTGACATACGTGTGACCTGTTTAATCCTATAGTTCAATGGCCTGGTGAATTGACTACGCAGCCACAAAGTCCATTTCCGTGTGACTTACACTGCAGCCCCTCAGCCATCAGCGGGGAAGCAGAAGATGTCTACGTTAGCAATTTGGCTGGGGGCAGCACTGCAGAGCTGAAGTAAGTCCCCTCACTGTACACAGTTACCGTGTACTGGTTCAGTTCTCACGTCATTGAGCTGATACCAGCACAGCTCTACTTCAAAAATGCCACTGCTTACTGGGGATGTAAGGCTGCAAACCAGTATGTAGGCAGGCCATGCCACCACAAGGTCTTCCGGTACGTAACTAACATTTTTTCATTCAGAAACCATTGAACCACATGCACAGTGCAGACTTTTGGTATGGGAAACCAAACATCATCATCTCCACAGTCAGCCCTCCAAGCCACGCGAATGGCCGTGTGAGGAACCTCAGAACCAATGCCTCAACCTACTGATCCACTTCTATCGCTCCCAACTTTTGCTAATGTAGATAGCCAGGATGTTACTGCAATGGGAGTATTTGGCTGTACCCCAGAACAGAACTGGAGTTAAATTTAAGATATTATCTTGTCCTATCTTACAGCGTTTATACTTTACTGAGAGGCTAGCCCAACAATTCCTTTTCAACTATGACAGCACAAGCTGGGAAGTACAACTGCAGTTGAGATAAAGCTTCCATACAGCTCTCCATATAACCACCAGTCTTACTACAGATTTGAACAATTTCCCATTCTGGGAAAGAAAATGTGACAGCTTATTGAATATCTTGTATTTTATATTTTATACAGCTCTTACGTATTCTGTATCATGCACATCATCTGAATATGACAAGTAGATTCTCAACTTTATTGCCAAAGATGTGCTGCTTTCTGGGCTGTCCTTTTCTCTCCAATCTACCATGTTAGATTAGCTTGTACCTGTGTAAGCTTCTTCCCTGCCATGAACAAATGCATCAGACCCATTTACGCATGCCTCTGCATCAAAGAATATTACCCTATGCACAGAACCAGAGAAACATGATCTCTTCTGTCTGATCCCTGTTTTCTGCAGGAAAGGAAGTCAACTTCTGGCGTGTAGCGGTCACTAAGCAGAATTACCAATACCGTCACCATGAGAAACAGCTCCACCTTCCTTCCACACCCCCCCAAAATAGTTTAAACCACAACTTGTTCCTCAGTCCAAATTACTACAGAGAACTGCAAATGTCAATGCCAGCGGTGATAGCGTGCGGGCAGACTGCTAGACCACAGATGGGAAGAGGGTGAACGGCTGCTTTCAGTGGCAGTGCCGGTCTATGGAGACCACAAAATTGTACCACAAGTCTCAATATTGCATGTGAAAGAAACAAACATACAAATGAAAGTTAGGTATCGCTTTTAAATTATATCCACACTGCAGAATACAACAACAACAAAAAAAAACCCCTAAAGTCTACTGTTCAAAAAAACCTCCAAAACATACACTTCTCTATTTTTTCCCAGTCACAGCTGTAATGCTGTTTTAAAGAGAAAGACTGAAAACCACTGGAGTAGTTGCTTCTACAAAACAAATGAGAGTACTCAATAGTTAAGTATTTGAACACTTCAGTTAGCAATATAAAAGTCTTGTGCACGTTAAAGACATTTTCTGAAAATCTGTGGTTTTAAGTATAATTTACTATTGTGAGAATGGAGACAAGTGCTTCTGTATCCAGAGTTTTGAGTAGTTTAAGTGCAGGAATAAATAACCATTCTCTTGTTTCTTATTAAGCGACAAATACATCCTTCAAAAAGAAAAAGTTTCAGAGAGAGACAGATTTATAGCCATTAAAAGAAACTGTAACCTACTTCCACAAATTAATAACTGCAAAAGAAAATATAATGTTTGAAATTCAAATTAGAGACACACTACAATACTATCCTCAAAAAAGCAGGAAATCCTTTCACAAATATGACAGTGACAGATGCTTAAAAGTTGTTACATCAAAATTGCTGGGTTTAAACTGGACAAACACCACCACAGAAAATGAAGTTTAGGAGTTTTTTCCCTCCCGTGCTGCCTTTCATTCAATGCCAAAGCTCTTTATGAATATTTCAGGCACCAGGGAAATCACTGTCCTCAGTCTGTAATAGTTACAGTTACAAGTCAAACTAGAAACAAGATGCCCAAATTTACTCACAAAAGCCTACTTTAATTTGTAAAAAACCCTGCTGCTTTTAAGAATTCTGAGCACTGTGCAGCATGCAGGGATTTAACATCAGGCAATCAGACAACTAAGGTTTTGAACCTAGCGACTTGCCTAAATTAGGAGAACAATCTGTGGGAAGTAAACCCAAATCCCACTTTGCTTTACTGGCTGAAAGAACTCCCTTTCCTTTCCATACCCTCCACCCCAAAAAATCTGTTGGTATTTAGAAGCACACTGTGAATTTTTTCTTAATACTTAATACTTCTCAAAGATTTGATGAAAAAAATTACAGCATCTATCACATGAGAGAAGGCAATAACCCCTCAGTAAAAAGTGGCCAGCAAAAACTGGGGCTTCTTACTTTCACGTTAGACCGCGATACTTTTCATATACCTGAATTTCAGATGTCCTAGAAAATCCTGGCATTTCAAAATATTTTCCCCGCTACCTTATGTAGCAACCTCCTGTGGTTTCCTGCACATTTCCCTTTTGTGTTGAAACATTTTTATGAAGTCAAAACTTCCGGCGTTCTTATGAAGCAGCAACACACACCCCCACACACAAATCAAAACACATCTTATTTAAAATGGAAAGTATAATTGCCTTCTGTTAGCATAACTAAAAAGAATAGTTTTCCAGGTTTTTTCTGATTTTTTTTTCTAAACAACTTTGTTAAAAATTGACTTTGTTAAAAAGCACCAGGCGTTTACTCTAAAACTACAGGTACTATTTTTATACAGAAACATTCTTTGACAATATTTTCAACTTGCTCTACTTCTAAGCAAAAATGTTTAACGTGCCACAGGCATAATTATTCTTGTATGGCTTTTAAAAATCATCTCTGTGGCGCCAAGGATGATGATACAATGTGAGTAAAGATATAATGTGGATATATTAGTCTAACAGCTTGCTACAGCTGTCAGAAGATAAGGGCCCAATTTCCCATCGCCGAGCTTTCCCTGTCCCTTCCCTTGGACTGATTCTGGTACTCGTTTGACCACACAGCAAGTCACGGCAATATGCTATATTGCCAGAAAGCTTTTATTTATATATTTAAAAAATCAGGTTAGTTTTCTGATAGTTTAGCGAATTGAATCAGTTTGCAACAAGGTCCAGGTTAACACAAAAAGCACAGCAAGGCAGAGGGAAGCAGGGCTCTCTTTTGGGAGCGGCGCACCACTGGGCCATGTAGCTTCATCCCAAGTATTCCAACTTCTCCTAGACATGCTCTGTCCTAACCCTGGGGCAGTTAGCAAAGGCAGCAGGAACACCCCTGCCGCACAATGATCTACTGTCAGATAAAAAGCAGAAGCAGCTACGTCGGCAAAACGTACTTGAACTGACTGGGTCATACAATGCGTAATACTCAGACAACTAAGCTTTACTCTTCCTGCAGCTCAAAGCCATTGATCCATTAACACTGTGAGTTCGGGTTGTATGGCGATCTCAAAATCATGGCCATCTAGTTACGTTGCACACTGTAAAGTTTTCAAATCTCCAACAGGGCTTTTTGGTTCAGATTTTTATAGCTGGGAGCAGCAGTCAGCTGTCAGGTAGTGCACACCAGTCATACCAGAAAAAGAACAGAGGGAAAAATATTCATTAAAGAATGGTAACGTCCAGAAATAGGTTTCCCTAAGCGTCTTCAAGAATGCTTCTCAAGTTCAGAGAGAAGCAGCTTAACAAACATGAAACTACAAATCCATTAAAAATATGACCAACCGAACAGATTGTTTAAAGACCTGCCCCACCACAGTCCAACAGCTCTTGAGTTTATCTCCAGTCACGTCTCATGTGGCAAGTGAATCAGGTGATTCATCATGTACAACGAAGGGAAAAAAAGACCAATTATCCAAACGGGGTTGTACATAGACGCGTTTCTCTCTCCTGACTCCAAAATATGAACAAGTTCTTGAACTTCCAGCGCACATGCAAGTTTTCCTTGTTAAACGGTGCAATATTTCCCTTTGGTTACCTTTATTCTACAGCTTATGTTGTGAATATGGTTGACAACTTCTCACTGAAAGAGTCTGATTGCTATCTTGGTTGTGTCCTCCCTTTCTAATTTGGGACTGGTTCATTTTCAAACAGATTAAAGTTAAGATAACAGATTAATACAAATCTGTAAAGTTAAGATCCAAATACAGTAAAAGGAGTCAGAATTCTTAAATTTTGTAATTATTCTAAAATTAACTCTATGATTTGTATTAAACTAGATTTCTTTTAAATGGCGACCATTTTTCCCCTTTTTCACCCCACAAAATGCGCTATTTTAATCGTACATTGTAAACACATTCCCCAAAGTAATATAAACAAAGTAGTTACTTGTAGGCAGGATACTTTGGCTTCTTCCCAAACTGAAATTTTGTCATTTGAAGCAAAACAGTAATACAAGTAGAAGGGACTCTAATTAAACTCT